ATTTCTTCCGTTTCTTCGCTGTATTGACGGCGTTCATAGCGTGTGGACAAAACGCCGGCGCGGCGGTGGAACGGTGCGGACGTTCATTGGTCAGGGGTGCATGGTGAGGTGGAGGAGAAGGAGGGGGCCACTGTTGGACTTCCCACGACGGCGTCCCGGTGTGGTGGGGGGGGACGGCATATGCAGAAAGAAAGCGCACGCTGCGCTACCGTTGCGTTTCTTTTGCCGACGTCTTGTCATTCGCCCCTCGGTTTTTTTGGTTCTGTCGTGTCGGGCCTCAGGCCGAACCAAAGTTGCTGGCCAGCTGAGCAAGACTGAAACATTGGGTGTCCTCGCAGGCGAACAAAGCAACACCCGTTACGACCCACGGATCCTGCACCCTTCTTACACGACGAACAGCAAAGGCTCCGAGCGACAATCGCTTCTTCCCATTAGTGGACAGTGGGCGAAGAAAACGGGCTTTTCTTGCTTTGTCGCTTCGGGCCGGGTCTGTCAAGGCGGCTCGTCGACTCAAAACCCACGGCTTCGTGGCGACCGTTGGGAGCGTACCTGGCGGCCCTGAGCTACGTGACTCGCAGACAATGGCATTCTTCTGGTGGGCGGGGGGAGGCGCAAGAATGCCAACGCGGTGGTTTGCGCGTCCCCTTTGACTCCACCGCTGCCCTGACTACTTGACTCGAATGGCACGTGAATCAAGGAAGGGAGTTCGATCGGGGAGTAAAGAGGAGAAAAGGGAACAACCTAAACGCCGCTGACCGGCATGACACGGCGCTTCTTTTGAGCTGATCGTCCGTTGTTGGGTCACTGGAACGTTCCTCAAGGCAAGGGAAAACAACAACGGACACGAACGCGATAACCACTTTCTGGAATGGGATGCATGTTTGCACTGCCGCGCTCGATTCCAACCTCCGATGCCAGGCGCCTTGATTTTCATTGGGTCTCTGCAGATCAGTCAATGGACCATGCTTTTGACCCGGCCATTATCGTTGCTGTGCTTCTTGCTTGTCCGAA